ATATATATATAAATAAAAAAGCTAAAATTGCCATTTTAAAAGCTTCCAAAAATAGTAGCATCACATAGCCACTAGGGACGGCATGATTTTCAATGAAACTATAATCCAGGATCAAAACCACAAAAAGATGCAACAACTCAAAATGCAATCATAACGACTACTTATTACAGAAAAATAACATTTGTCTTAATCACTTGTACTTGAGGCAAAAAAATATATATATAAAAATTTCCTTTGACAAAAGACACACTGCCATTAGGGGGCATCCCAAGCATGGCTTTTCCCTGTTGCTGTGGAAACAGCAGAAACAGAGGCAGATAGGATGGCTAAACACATTTATGTCAAGTGGAGATGGGATGTATATGGATCTAAATTAGATCAGACAATATCTGTGCTATTAGATATGAAAAGCAAATATTTCCATCCCTGACTGATTTAGAAAATGCACTTGGATGCATCTTCACACATGATTTGATTTTAACCAACACAAGATGGCTCCCCACCCCCAGAGGAGACTTTCCACACTGTAGTAATAGATGTTTCAGTGGATACTGAGGATTCAAAACCACACGCAAGCGTGAAACAGCCATATGGATGAAGTTCAACAGGAATGCAGGCTGGAATTCCCTACATACAGGGTTTTTGACACTGATCTGCTGTCAGATGGTATTCTAAGTGGACATAAGGAGAAAATAAAACCCCTTACTTTGCATCTGTAACGCTCCCCTCCCCCATACAGATTTGGATATCTCAGTAAATATGTCCCAGGCCGAAACTCTGGGCTTGTGCTCCGGAAAAAAGACTACGCAGTTTTGTAAAACTCAACAGCTGACCGTTACATAAATCACACCAGAGATGGGCAGCAGACACATAAGACAAACAAATACAGAACAAAATCATGCTATTCATGCACAAATAGCTGTAGTTTAGCAGACACGCTGTTTCTCTCTGATGAGTAAGTGTTAAGTGTAATATAAGAGTAGAGCTCAGGAAAGCAAATGTAATTTAAACCTCAGCGGTGGAGGCTGGTGACAGTGAAGAGAGCTGAATCCTTTTGGGAATACTACAATATGAATGTCAATGTCAGCAATATACAATGGAGGAACATTCACCATGGGTGAATTCAATGGCTCATGGTAAAAGGTCATTTCTTTTAAATGATTCTCGACTTCGACTAGGAGCAGCCAATCTGCAACTAACCTCCAATCTCCTGGTATTTACAGGTTCAGTGTGGAATGTTTTTAGCATTAGAAGAACTAAACGAAACAATTATTTCCACAAAGGTTTTCCAAACCTGCTATTATTATTACCAAACAGGTTGACCCACCCTAAACTCAAACAACCAAATGTACTTTTAACGCAAGTCAGTCACTTGTTATCATCCCCACGTAGCTATTTCCAGTCATACAAGTACATATCCTGTTTCTCCGATAAAAATAGACGAAAACATTCAAAACTAATATCAGTTTTAGTTTGTTTGTTTTTTAATCTAAAAAAAACAACAACAACAAAAAACCATACAATGCCTCTGTGAAAAAGGTATTTGGTTGTTTTAACCCGCATATTCTATCTAACATTTTTTATATTTCTATAATCATCTCTTCATATAATGTCACTGAATCTCTCCGATTTCAGTTACAAATATTAAGAATATTATAGAATATCAAGATATTGTAGAAACATTCTATTTTACGGTTAGAAATTATTCATTAATTCTGTAATGATTGTTCAGCAAAAGTGTCCAGTAACAGTGGGGTTATAAATAGGTGTTCAGCTAGTCATGTGATCTTCAATAGACTGCTCTCATGAAGCGACCTGCTGCGTGATAAATAAAACAGTAGGCTATTTATAGAGTAGAAAATGTACTTAAACGTAAGAAAACCCATTTACCTGAAAAAAA